TCTCGTTTAGTTTTGTCTATGAAGTTTCTGAATTGTTTATCTAACGTTTTCATGACTTCTATTGTGTTGTCTGTGGAGGATGAGTAATTTTTCTTTTCTCTTCTGGGAGAGATATTTTCTTGGTTTCTCATATTTCTTGTGCCTCTGTGCTGATTTCTGGTCATCTGATGGATTATATGTTTTTTCCCAATTTCTTGGAGTTTATTATGAGTGTGCAGTTGGAGGTAAGCCACGGTCTCTCTGCAGCTCTGTCTTCCTGACACACACCCTGAAACCCGCACCGTTGTTGCTGGAACTGGGTATTCTATTGGCCCCCCCTTTCTTGAGAACAGGCATAGCTTGGGTTAGGCTACATGGTTTGAACTGGGAAAGAAAGTAGGGGTCATGCTCCACACACTTCAGAAAACAGTGAAGTCTAAAAATATTACTGAGTGGGCAAAAGGCAGCTAGAGGTCTAAAGCAATCCCCTATCTCAGTTGTTCTCACTTTCTGCCGTTTCGAGCACGGTTTGGGGATAATGGCGGAGTGGGAAGGCGGAAGGAGGATCTGGGCACCTGCAACAACCGGCAGTCAGTTGAGTTCTCAAGGAAACCTCTGGCCCAGTTCTTCTCACTGTTCTGCACAGAGTCCAGGGATAATGGAGGAGGGGAAGATAGAAGCAGGAAGATCTGGGCACTTGGAACAGCCTGGAGACAGTGGAGTTCCTAAGGCAATCTCTAGCCTCAGTTGTTCTCACTAGCTGCTGCTCTGCACCACAACATTTTAAATAATTTAATTGAAAATAACATAAACGTCCCAGTAGTCCACAATTGGTTAGACATTTATGGTATATTGATAGAATGAATGAACAGCTTCATAGCCATGACAAGTCACATTGTAGAAGAATATTGATATGGTGAAATAAACACACATAGTACATGGAAAGATCACAAAGCAGTGTGATTCCCGATGCTACTAGTAGTTATTGCTATGTGACTGGCTAGTGATTTTTATTTGCTTTCTTACGTATTTCTAGATTTCCATCAGTGAACATGTATTCTTTTATAATCAGAAAAATTAAGGCTTTTTTTAAAAAGCAAGGTGGTAAGGAAGCTATCTCTAGCTTGTAAACTTCAGCTGAGGAGTCACTTTATTAACAAAGCACAAAGGTTCGGGATTGTTAGGGCGGTAGTTGAGTATAGTACCCACAACCCCAGGTCTAGTGGCTGCACACCTGGATTTAAAGTGTCTCTTTTCAGCTGCATTGCCTGGGGCGTTTCCAGAAGGACTCCTGTTCAATGAAAAAAATGAAATCTTTCATGAGGGATGCTGAAACATTTCTGTTTCCACTTCAAACACTCTTGACTTAATCTCCTGGGAACAGCCTTCTCAGATAAATTGTCCACCACCCCATCTAGTTCTTGGCTCATTTGAAAAAGTCTGTAGACTCTGCCATGAGGTCATTTTTTTTTTTTAAGATTAAATATCTACTTTGCTTTGAAAATCTATTTTCTCCCTTTTCAAAAAGAGCATACCAGGAGTTAAAATTGGATCACATTTAGCAAGCTACATCATACTTCTGGAGCGAGTTCCAGAGTATTAATGTCATGGTATGTTATACCAAGGACTGTCAAGTCTAAGTTTTGCAGACATGCTCAATCTGAAAAGGCAGTCTGGACAGCCAGTATTGATCCTTGAGCTGAGGTCTGTTTTCTGAAATTACTCTTAAAGTAAAAGGAGAAAAGCAGAGTCTGCAACACAGTTCTGACTTGCACAGCAATACAACAGTGATAGGAAATATCTTTACCATCTATACTGTAGAGTTATAATTAGACTTTTAGAGTTGGAAGGGGCTTGAGATCTCAAGTGCAATCTCCTACTCAGTACTTACTCCTCTTCATCATTCTAGACAGAAGGTATGATTGAACTACCTACAATAGTAATTATATTTTCTTTGTAAATTAGTATTTTGGATTTTGGTATTCTGATTTCATATATTAGTCTCTGTGTACTTAATATTTGCTAGAATTCACTGCTAAAACCATGCGGACTTTGTATTTTCATTGTTTTTAAGAGCGTTCAATTTAATTTTTTTTTAATTTGCTGAAGAGCACATGCACTAGAGAGAGACAAAAAGAGTGAGAGGAAGAGTGAGATATGGCCACACAACATCCCTTTTCCATTCTTCTCCTGGGATTTTGGGCACACACACACACACACACACACACACACACACCAGGTGTAAATTTCAAGCTGCCGAGTCCAGTACTCAAACCACAGTTGGCCATGTGGGAGTCCAGTGCCTTGCCTACCACATCATCTGCTGGCCCTGTCAGTTTCCCTTTCTAGGTGTTCATTGTTGATGTTCAGAAACATAACTTATTTTTTTGTGTTAATATTTGTATCCTAATGTGTTTCTGAATTTATTAGCTCCAACAATTTTTTGTTGTTTATTTGTGGGGATTCTTGGTGAAATTTTAATTGTTCTTTATATTACATCTGCAGAGATACATATGCTTTTCCCTTTCTAATTTGAATGCCTTTTATCTTTTCTTGCCTAATTGCTCTGACCACAGTTCTTAACACTATGTTGAATAGAAGTAGTAAAAGCAGTCTTTCTCGTCTGAGAAAAAACTTTGTCTTTCATCATTAAATGTGACGTTAGCTCTGGGTTCTTCATATAGGGCTATTACTGTGTTGAGGTAATTTCTTTCTAATCCTAATTTCTTGGAAATCTTTGTTGTGAAGTGATGTTGAATTTTGTCAAGTGATTTTTCTGTATCAGTTGAGATGATCATATAGTTTTTTTCCTTCGTTCTGTTATATGTCTCACATTAGTTGATTTTCATGTGGAGAACCATCCTTGCACTCCAGCAATAAATCCCACTTGGTCATAGTGTATAGAATATGTTGTTCAATTTGGTTTGCTAGTATTTTACTGAGGATTTATAAGGGTTAATAGTCTGTAGTTTTTTTTTTTTTTTTTTTTCCACTGCAAACACGTGCACTTTATTGAATCCCACTGCAGTCAGAGCGAGTCGAAGCGGCTGTATAAAGCAAGGGGCAGGCCTGGAGGCCCCGGGGACAGGCCAGCAGAGGGGGCGGACACGGCTGCAGGCCACGGCCATCGACTATGAGTGCTGGAAAGACTCTTTCATCAGCTGAATCATATCTGCAATTACTACTGGAGCCGCGATGCAAAGGATGATGAACATGATGGTCAGAACGATGCCGAGGACCAGGGCGAAGATGTTGAGGCACTTGGCGGTCGAGGCGTAGCTCTGGGCCCCGATCACGTCCCCCACCATCTTCCTGTCCCTAGACTTCACGGAGTAGGCGAAGGCGATGAAGCCCAGGCAGCAGTAGTTCATGAAGACCGTGTTGAACAGGGACCAGACCACGTGGTCGGGCACCGAGGTCTCGCTGCGGATGTTGATCACGGTGGACGTCACTGGAGCCGCGGGCGGCGGCGCCCCCAGCACAGACACCTCGTGCTCTTCCTTGAGCATCTCATAGTTCGGGGGAGAGCCGGCGCCGGCGCGAGTGAAGAAGTTTGGGGAAGCGCGGTTCATGGCGCACACGGCTCTGATGGCGGGGCGGGCTGCTGCTCTAAAAGTTGTTTCCTGTAGTTTTCTTGTAGTATCTTTTTTTGACTTTGTTGTCAGGTTGACTCTGACCTCACAGAATGAGTTAGGAAGTGTTTCCTCTTCTTCAGTTTTTTGGAAGACTTTGAAAAGGGTTGCTATTAATTCTTACTTAAATTTCTGGTAGAATTAACCAGTGAAACTGTCTGGTCCTGAGCTTTTCATTATTGGGAGATTTTTAATTACTAATTCACTGTCCTTACTGATCACTTCAGTAATTAATGAGTTACTAATTAAAACCTATTCAGATTTTCTGTTTCTTCATAATTCAGTCTTGGTTGATTGTGTGTTTCTGGACTTTAATATCATTTTTATTTTTCCTGTGATCCATGGATTATTGAAAGTATATTACCTAGTTCCTAAAATACGGGAAATTTTTCTGAAGATCTAGTCCGTGTGTGCTTGAAAAGAACATGTATTCTGCTTTTCTGTATGTAGTGTCCTGTAAATAAGCACCTGACCAAGTTAGTGGATGGTGTTGTGTAAGTCTTCCATATCCTGTCTGATTACTTGTTTACTTGTTCTCTTGTTGATTGAGGAAGAGGTATGGAGCGCTCTGGCTGTAAAATCTCTTTGTCCTTACAGTTCTATCATTTTTTGCTTGATGTGTTTTTAAGCTGTTAGACACACAGACATTTAGGACTAGTGGGTCCTCTTATTAAATGACCTCCTTTATCCCTGATAATACTCGTTGTGAACTGCCGTGCTGGTGGGTTGTCAGAAAGGTCGACACATTTTCCTCTGCAGAAGTGCATCGTTACTCTTCCGACGACCCGCTATGTATTTCCTGTCCTTTTCCTTTTAACCTTCTCACACCTTTATATTTGCAGTGTGTTTCTTGTAGGCAGTATGTCGTCGGGTCTTGCTCGTTTATCAACTCTGACAATCTGTATCTTTCAGCATTTCAAATATTTGAAGATACTTATGAACCAACCATCAGTCTTTTCTTTCTTGGACTAAGTGTCTTTTTATTGTGATTTGGCGATGCTTTTTTTAAATCCTTCATCATTATTATCTAACTTGTCTGTGCATGTTTTTATTAACAGTGGACATTACATCACAAAGGAGACTTTGAGTTGCCCTCCTCAAGAAATGCTATTACTTATTGCTTCAGTTAATTAATATTATCACCAAAGATCTCTTTTTGTCTAGTTCTTCACCACTAGTTTAAAAGCAGTTTAGACCATCTGATCCATTTTTCTTATCCTAATCATATTTTTGCCTTTGCGAGGAAATTTAAAACATATATTAACTGTGCCTCTTGAAAATGTCTGTTTTGTTTCAGTTATACTAATTCTAGTTGAATTATTTTGAATGTGAGTCAAGTAAAACTAGACTATAACTGAGAGAATTAAAATGCTTACCTTTTTTCCCCAGGTAAAAACGTCTCCATCCTATCATCAGTCCAAGGGGGACCCTGCTGCTAAGAAGGTAAGTTGTAAAGACAAGGAACAGTTTCTCCTTCTGTGTGTTTATTCTCTTTTGTTGAACAATTTTCTCAAAGCAATAATGATTTTCAATCATCTTAATACTCTCAAAGGTTCTTTCTGATTAAATGCTTTAAGAAATTTCACTGGCGGGGGTCGGGGTGGGGGTAGGCTAGCAGGTGATATGGAGGTTAAGAGTGCTAGACTCCCACACGACCGAACACGGTTCAAGTCCTGGGTCTGGAGACTTCCTTTCTCTTTTTTTCTCTCTCTCTCTCTGTCTCTGTCTCTCTCTGGTCAACCAAAAATAAATAAATAAATAAGATAATTCTTTTTAAAAAATAAAAGAAATTTCACCAGGATGCCTTGGCTTGGCCAGATAAGCTAATTCAAGTTTGGGGCCCAGCCTTGGTCTCCTGGCAACTCAGGACTGTCATTGTTTTAGAATTGGCATCCTCTGTACCAGCTATGGCATCTTGGTTAACAGATGAAAAATATTCTAAGGGGGAAAAAATAAGTCGTTTTTCTTAATAATGTGCTTTTTGTCTAGGTGGCTGTGCTTAAAAACAAGCAAAAAAAAAAAAAAATACCAGCCTGAGATATTATTTCAGCGAGTACCGTATATGAAAGTCCTCAATGACTACAGGGAAAATAGTATCTCCCTCTGTCACTCCTGTCCTGTAAACTCTGTGGCACAGACAGGGTGTGAGTCTCCCCGAGCAGTGATCCCTCACTTCACCCAGTGGCAGCAGAGCAGTTGAAACGTGGTAAACAGATCGACACTTTTATTGCACTTCGTTACCATTTTTCTTTCTCTGATAGCTTGTTTTCTTTCCTTGGCCTTTTTTACAGTTTCCGCCAGCATCTGTGTCAGCAAAGGATTGTAGAACAAAAATAACAACTTGCTGGCTCTGTTGACTAACAGCAGGTTTTAGCTTCAAAGCCATGTGCCAAACATGGGTCCCTCTTCTCTGCCTTCAGAATCCCCTGAGTCCTTTAAAAGAAAAAAAATGTGTAGCCTGAATAGCTCTGTCACATGCCATACGTGGAAATCTCTCCTGGTCTTGTCAAGGCAGCAAGGGCAGGCGAGACTGAGGCAGTGACGGTTGCTGTCAGAACTGTCACACGCGAACATGAGGATGGAAGGAGCCTGCATCTTGGCAGTCCCACTCAGAAATCACGGAGCAAATTGAAACCCAGAGGGAAGTATTTTGGTCCGAGTTTCCAGTGCTACCCGTAGGACACACTTCCAAAGTAGTGATTGGAAACATGTGCTTCGGATAGCAGTGACACTTAGGTTCAGAGATTTCCTCTAATACCAGCTTACCTGAATGACCTTGAATGACTAGGCTCTGTTTCTGCCCATGCAAAATGGTGATGCTCAGAACTGTCCCAAAGAGTAAACGAGATACCATTTAGGTGCCTAGCCCTGTGTGACACACGTTGTTGTTGGCATTTGTATTAAAAGGCAGGTCTCCCGACTAATCAGATGTCCTCCTCTACATCGTCATGCTTATACACTGTTCATTCAGCGAGTATTTCTTCAGACCGGGTACTGAGCAGAACAGTGAGCTGCAGAGATGAAAAATGCAGTCCTTGTCCCCACAGCTATGGTGGGAAAGGGGCTAGGTAAACTGGGCTCACCGTGCAGCCGGACTCACGCCGTGGGAGGTACACAGGGCACTGTGGGAGCACCAGGGAGGGCCTGCCTGAGGCGAAACGACGAAGTTGACTTAGGGCACCTTTGATGTTCTTCATGAAGAGGAGCCCGATGGAGAACTCGGAGGAAGGGCTAGCCGCTCCCTTACAGCCTTGCTGTGAGGTTACAGTGAAAGCAAATTCTGCCATGCTTATAGGCACACTTACTGAAAAATACTTACTTAGAAATAGATCTGTGCAGTCTGTTTCCAAACGTGTAATACCCCAGCTCTTGGTTGCTTAGGTGTCTGACACTGTCAGAGCTAGAACGTTACAGAAAAAGAACCGCCCGGCTCTCGTAATCAGCATCAGGCGAACAAGAGCTCTCTAAGCCAGTAACAGGACACGGGTGGCCCCAGGTGGCATTCCTAAGTGATCAGGTGTAGACTTCTTCCCATGCAAGAGCTTGGACTATCTCTAAAATATCTTATCCAATCTGTGTGTCTTGAACACCTTTTATCAATTGTTGTCCATTTCTAATATTAGCCATGCTGATTAACAAACCACTAATTTCACCAATTAAAAAAAAGTTCTCTTTCTTGAGTTAATAAGCACAATCTTAGGTGCTGGTCTATGCATGAACAGCCAAAAGAATTTCATTAGCTGCCTTTGGGGTTCATGGTAGCTGCTGCTGCTTGAAATGTAGATTCCTACTTAGGACCACTGACCACCCGTGAGTCCAAGTACAAACTAAACAGCACACACTTATCACATTGTTTCTGGTGCCTATAGTTACTTTAAATATAAAAGTTGGCTGTCCCTTATGAGAGGTGAGGAAAGTCTTTTCAGAGGGGTTAAAGCTTTTTTTTTTTTTTTTTGGAGAGGTTTTTGTTTTTGTTTTTATAGGGCATGTGCACTCGCCAGAAAGACAGAGAGGAACAGAGAGACAGAAAGTGAGAAATCACCCCAATGGGGGAGGGCCATGCCACAATCCCTTCTCCTCCATTCTCCTCTCGGGATCTTGGGCACGCACACACATGAACCCGGCGTGAGTTTAAGCCACCGGGTCCGGGACTCGAACTGCGGTTGACGACATGGGAGTCCAGCAACATAGCCATTACACCAACTGCTGGTCCCCTAGAGGGGTTAAAACTTAATTTACTCTTGCAAAACCAAGGAAACGGTGTCCCAGGCAGACATGGATGAGTAAAACACATGTAGGAAGTGGCGGGGGGGTCTGTATGTCTTAAATAGAAAAGTGTGGGGCCAGCAGGGGGCATGGCTTAAGGCACTAGATTCCCACATGGCCAACAGTGGTTCAAGTCCAAGACCTGGTGGTTTGCTTTCCTACTTCCCCTCTCTTGGGTCAAATTAAAAATAATAATAAAAGTAAATAAATAGTTCTTTAAAAACAGAAAGAGGAAGTTTGGTGAAAGAGAGATGGGGGTTCAGATACACAGAGCCTTAGTCTGTGAAGTCTGTTTTTTTTTAAAGAATTATTTTATTTATTCATTCATTCATTCATTTTAATTTTACAAAAGAGAGAGGGAAAGTGAGAAAGCAAGCTACCAGGTCCAGGACTCGAACTGTGGTTGACCATGTGGGAGTGTCCAGCACCTTAACCACCACACCACCTGCTGGTCCCCGTGAAGTCTGTTTTTTAATCTTAAGGAGATGGGCTTCTACCAAAGGTAAAGGCAGAAAAGATGGCTGTCCCTTATGAGAGGGGAGGAAAGTCTTTTCAGAGGGGTTAAAGCTTTTTTTTTTTTTTTTGGAGAGGTTTTTGTTTTTGTTTTTATAGGGCATGTGCACTCGCCAGAAAGACAGAGAGGAACAGAGAGACAGAAAGTGAGAAATCACCCCAATGGGGGAGGGCCATGCCACAATCCCTTCTCCTCCATTCTCCTCTCGGGATCTTGGGCACGCACACACATGAACCCGGCGTGAGTTTAAGCCACCGGGTCCGGGACTCGAACTGCGGTTGACGACATGGGAGTCCAGCAACATAGCCATTACACCAACTGCTGGTCCCCTAGAGGGGTTAAAACTTAATTTACTCTTGCAAAACCAAGGAAACGGTGTCCCAGGCAGACATGGATGAGTAAAACACATGTAGGAAGTGGCGGGGTGGTCTGTATGTCTTAAATAGAAAAGTGTGGGGCCAGCAGGGGGCATGGCTTAAGGCACTAGATTCCCACATGGCCAACAGTGGTTCAAGTCCAAGACCTGGTGGTTTGCTTTCCTACTTCCCCTCTCTTGGGTCAAATTAAAAATAATAATAAAAGTAAATAAATAGTTCTTTAAAAACAGAAAGAGGAAGTTTGGTGAAAGAGAGATGGGGGTTCAGATACACAGAGCCTTAGTCTGTGAAGTCTGTTTTTTTTTTAAAGAATTATTTTATTTATTCATTCATTCATTCATTTTAATTTTACAAAAGAGAGAGGGAAAGTGAGAAAGCAAGCTACCAGGTCCAGGACTCGAACTGTGGTTGACCATGTGGGAGTGTCCAGCACCTTAACCACCACACCACCTGCTGGTCCCCGTGAAGTCTGTTTTTTAATCTTAAGGAGATGGGCTTCTACCAAAGGTAAAGGCAGAAAAGACAGCTAGAAGAATAAGACAGTTGTTTAGGAAAGAAGAAAGGTCCTAGGCCACACTAATGGAGTGAAGGGATAATTCAGATCTTAGCTATGATCTTAGTTCCCCCGCACCCCCAGAAAACCCTTCCTGGTATCTGCCCTGAGTCTGAGTTAAGTATCCTTCCTTCCTTGAACTTAGAGCACCCTGAACTACTTCCTGCCAATATGCTATCCCTGAGGTGTGGAAATGGCTCTCCACTTAAATGTGTGTCTCCCGATAGACTCTGTCCATCATGAGGGCAGGACTCGCTTCAGTCCTGACTACTGTTACCTCCTTAAGTGTAGGACAGAGCAGTCACTCAGTCATTGCTGAACGGAGCAGAGACGTGCTGAGAGATTCCACAGGACGTCGTGGTGGTTTACGCAGAGGAAAAGGAGAAAGAAGTTTGTGGCCTGCATAGCTAGAGGAAGGACAGACATCACTGCTGTCTTGGGCCTGTGCTCCCATCACAGCCAGGTCCTTACAGCCGGTGCTGAGTGAGCAAGGCTGTGAGGGAGATTTACAGGAAGATTCGCCTGACACTCCGCACCGATCGTGGCTCCCGTCGGTCTGCATCTGTGTGTGTGTGCTCAGCGACCTGCGAGGCTCGATCCTCACCTCTGCACAGCAGTCTCTTCTCAGAGTCATGCCGACAGCTGGAAGCAGCAGCAGTGTCTGTTGAACTGAGTGACTGTCAGAGTGACAGGTGTAGAAAACACAAAGGAAGCAGTAGCACTCTTGATCCAC